TCACCGAGATTCGGCCCTGCAGCCCCGCAGAAATGAGAACAAAAAGGGTTGGGGGCTTCGGGGGGCGGGCAGCAAAAAAAGGGGAAGGGAAGGAAAGAAAAAAGGGGGGGGGGGAAGGAGAGGAAAAGGAAAATAAATGCTGGGGAGGAGGGGGGGAAGAAAATACAAGGGGAAAAAATAGGGAAAACGTGAAAACATTGAGGAGAAAAAGGCAGGGAATCAAAGCGGCGATGCGCTGCAGGCGGTTATAGGAACCCATGGGATCGGAGGGGGTTCGGTTCCCCCCATATCCCCACTTCGGGGGGTGTGGGGGGGGGGTAGGGACCCCATGTTTGTGTTTCGGTGCTTCTCTCCTCCTCTCTCCCCCTTGAGAAGTGTTGGCATCGAGTGTGAGCTGGGCTGGGGGCTGCTTTGCCTTCTCGTTTTCCATCCAGCGAGGTGAAACCCGCGGAGCAATGCGAGCCTCGTGCAGAATTCCCTCATTTCCCTTTTCTGGGGGTTTATATATACATGCATATGATTTGATTTTCTTTTTTTTTCCGATGCGGAACGCATTTAATCTCATTTTCATGCTCTATTTCGGGCGCTGTTTTTGTAGGAATGCGCGTCGGCCGCTGGCGCTGCCCCGCAGCTCCGGCCCTGTTGGGGGAATGAGCCGAATTAAAGGGGGGGGGGGGGGAAGGAAGGGGAGGGGAGGGATGTTGGCAAAATAAACAAATAAATAAAGGTTTTTTTTTCTTGACCCAAATTCGCACGAAGCCTGGGAAAAACTCCCCTCTACCGAACACGAGGAGCGGAGCGCCGGTTTCTGCCCTAAATTTGGAGCTCCGATGGGAAAAGCGCCGCCGCTCTCGGAGTTTCTCACGGAGGCGGCTCTGATTTCCCCCAGGGCTCCAAAACCCGAATCCCTCTCCGCGATTTTCTCGCAATTCACAGAGGGGAATTTCCCTTCCCAATGGGGCTGAGGGTTTCCGTGCGGGTTCGGAGGCATTGGAGCCGCTTTTTTTCCCCCATAACACCTCCCCCCCCTCCACCCCCCTCCATTGACCATTTCCTTTGGACGGGGCACGGCTGGGAAGGCTCCAGAAATACGAGTTTTCTACTGAAAATTGCTAAAAAATAGGTTGGAGGGGGGGGTGGGGTGGAGGGGTAGAATATTTCAGGAATATTTCAGACATTGGGAGCAAAGAGAAGGGAACAAAGAAAGAAAAAAAAGGGAGGGGAGGGGGGAGAAAGAAAAAAATGGGGGCAAGAAAAAATCCTTGCTATTTTTTCCCAAAGAATTGAATTGAGTCCATCTCTCCCCAAAGTGAAATACGGGGATTCGTGGCGTTTCTTCATCCCCATTCGGACCGCATGTATTCGTGCAGATGTGTGTGTATGTATTTATACAACGTGTTTGCTTTGTCGGTTGTTCGGTGTGGTGTTTTTTTTTCTTCTCCTCCGGGCTGTGTGGATCATAAAACGGGGTTTAATAACACGAATCTGCAGTCGGTGGCTTTTATTTGAGCCGAGGACTCGGAGCTGCGTCGGATGCGGTTGGGAGCATCGGGGAATGGTCACCTCCGTGCGTTTGGGGCAGAAATCCGCCTTTTTGGAGAGTTTCCTTGGAATATCCATCGCATCGGCTCTTAACGGCGGAGATGGACCCAAAAAGTCGCGTTCTGCAGGAACGTTCACCTGGAACGCTGTGTTCGGCCCTGGATTTCTTGGGTTTTTTTTTGCTTTTCAAGGACAGCGAAGATAAGGGAGAATTGAACGGCTGGGAGGGGAGAAAAGTGCCTGAAAACCCAACAGAGGAGACGAGCAGCAGTTTGCAAAGCGCAGCAGAGCGGGGATGGGGCGAAGCCGGGGCTGAATCTTCTTTCCAGTTCCAGATCGGGAATTAAAAAGGAATGAATGAACGCGATGAATGAACGCCGCGATTTTCTCCGGAGCTTTTCCTTCCTTCGGCCCCGACACAACGCGGTACAGAAAGGAGATGGGAGAGGAAGGAGCCGGCGGTGCCTTCGTCACATAAAAGGGGGAAATTCAGCCCTTTTTCTTCTCCGACCCATCGGAACGCTGAGATGGAACCGCTGCCCTCGGAAATATCCACAGCAAACGTCGCTCGGAGCGCAAAACCGCGCCCAGGGCGAGAAGGAGGAACAGCAAAGTCAATGTGGTTTCATCAGATTCTATTTTCCCCTCCCGTTCCCCTAATTAAAAAGAAAAAAAAAAAGGAAAAGAACCCCAAAAACCGTGATGAGCGACGCCCGGTTTTGGCATCTGCTAAAAACGCACCGTCGGAGGAATGCGATCGATTCCAGCAAACCTTGCAGGGAAATAAAAAGGCAGAAAGACGAAGCCGTCAACCAACCCCAACCCGCGGCCGGTTTCTCACATCTGCTCTGATTTCCCCCCGTTTCCAATCGCTCCTTTCCCTCTTCCCGTTCTCTATTAACGGGTTCTGCTCGGCGCTGACGTCGCGACGTGGGGTCCACAAAACGCCGGGAGAGCTCCGAAATGAACGGAAAAAGGCGAAGGAAAAAAAATAAATAAAGAGCTGTTTTTTGTTTTTTTCCCCTAATTATTATTATGATTATTTCCACTAAAATCCCGAATTTCGGCGCCGAGGGGCAAAGCTCCGCTTCAGCTCCGTTCTCCCTCCTCCCTCCTCCCCACAACCGCCGCTCCACACGCGATTTCCAACCTCCGTTACCCATCACCTCCGGCAAAATCTTTTCCCTTCGTCTTTTCACCGAGGGACCCGAGCGAAAAATTCACCCCGAATTCAAGCCATCCTTCAATGCCATCCTGACCGGATCTCCTCTCCTCGGAGCTGTTGGAGGGTCGGGTTGAGGTTGGCTTTCATTCCTCGCTCTGCTGAAGGCTCCGAGCGCGGCCGGGCTGCTCCTCTCGTTGCGCTCATCGTAAATCTTTACATTTTTAACATTTAATCCCTTCCCCGCGCATCGCGGGTAGGACATATGCTGCGAAATGTTAACTACTTCATAAAATCACCCGCATCGGGAGGGTGGAAGGGGGGGGGGGGGTTGGGGGGCGAAGAGCAAACGGCTGTTGGGGATGGAGATTTTGGGGGGGGGGGGGGGAGAGGAATGGAGGAATGGAGCGGCGCAGCCCCGACGGGGCGGACGAAGGGCAGACGGCTTTCATTTAAACGTTCGCATCGTTTGTGGTTTCTCCCATTCGCGTTTTGTGGTTGGGGTCCCGATTGAAGTTGGGGGAGGGGGTGGGGGGGTTTCGTGGGAATCTTAATCCCCACGATTGCTGGGTGAAATCAAATCTCTTTGTGGCACCCGAAGGCTCGGTGCGCTCCTAGGGTTGGGTATTTTCGGGATGATTACGATTTCCAAACCACCCCCCGCCGCCAAACCCCCAAAAGCAGCCTCTCGGAATGACGACGTCCTTCAGCCGCTGTCCCCATCCCGGCCCCGGAAGCCTCTCGGATTCCCTCACCTTGAACTTGGACTCTGAGATGCCCCATATCGCTCCCCGACGGCTCCAACAGCTGGGGAGGTAATGAGGAGCGCCTCCTCGCCTTATGACGGGGCTGGGAGCTTCCCTCCTCTCCAGGATTTGGGAGGATTTGTTGGGGTTTTGGGGGTCTTTTCCAGCCTTTTTTTTTTTTTGGAGAGGTCGGTGAACCTGCAGGGGGGAATCAACCCCAAAAGCAGCAGCAGAGAGATGGGGGATTTATGGGGACACACGGACATAAAGGGGGTCCTGAGTGGGACGAAGGGGAGCGCACCTCCCGGGGGCTCAGAGACACGCAGGAACCACCTGAGATCCCCACTGCCTCCAAACAACGTTGTTTTCTCTTGGGGGGGAAGGGGGGGGCACAGCACACCAGCACACATTTGGCTCTTGCCGATTCGAGCACCACGTTCCTGTAAATGCATCTCTATATTTTCCATTTTTTTCCCCTCTTCTTCTATTTGGTCGGAGTGCTGATGACCTTCGACCCCCCCTCCCTCCCTTCGTTACCCCCCTCCAGCGCTTGCTCGACGGCTCTGAGCCCCCGCTGCCCCCTCCTCCCTTTTCCCCATCGTTCCCAGCCAACAACCTGCGATTTTTCTCCTTTTCTCCCCCCTCCTCCGCCTCCCTCAGCCCGGAGCTGGCGCTGTTTTATGAACTGAGTCCCTTTTATTTTACAAACGCTCACAAATCAGACTGCACCAACACAACCCCCCACTCCCCAACCCCCCCCCCAACCCCCCCCCGTCCTTACCCACTGCAATATTTATCACCCAACCATGAAACACGAACATCTCCGTATCCCATCGTCCCCCCTCCCCCGCCTCCATTGGCTGAACGGGGAAAATCAAATTATTTCGGATTCTGGAAGAAAAATAAGCTGGGGAAACGAGGATTTGGGGCGGAGTTGCTGCTTTTTTTTTCTGTCCTGGGGGGGCTGGAGGGAGGGGGGGGAAGGGGGGGGAAGGAGCACCTGCAGTGAAAAATAACCAACAGGTTCCAACCGCAGCAAAGCAAAAGGGTTGAGGGGTAACATTTCTGCGGGGCAGCGGGGCGCCGGCCCCCCCATGAGCGGCCACGCGCTTTTTGTGCCCGACGGGGCGGACTCCGCCTTTAAGGCCTGTGAGCGGGGGGGGGGGGTGAGCGGGGGGGTGGGAGATGGAGGGGGGGGAGCAGTACGGCGTCCAATCAGCGCCCGCGTCGTAACCCCCCCCCCCACCCCCCAATCCGTCGGGGCGGCGGAGTGACGTGGGGCGGTGCGGCGGGGGCACGACGGGGCGGGCGCGGGGTTGGAAGCGGGGGGGGGGCGGAGGACGAGGGGGGGGGCGTGGCCGCGGCGGATTTCTTAATGGAGCGGCGGCGGCGCGGCGGCGGCGCATGCGCGCGCGGCTCCGATATGTTGGGGGGGTCGCGGGGCGGCGGGGCGCGGCGCGGTGCTTCCCCCGACGGCGGTGGCGGAGGTGGAGGCGGCGGCGGCGGCGGGGACGGCGGGGACGGCGGGGACGGCGACATCGCGGTATGACATGACGGCGCCTCTCGGCCTCCCCCCGCGTTGGCCCGACGGTTTGGCCTGCCGCTGCGAGGAACCCCCCCGGGAAAAAAACCGCATGGAAAGCTTAGGGCACTGCCGGGAGGTTCTCCCCCCGCCACCGGGGCTCGCCGTACCCACCGGAGCTCCGCCGGCGCCGCAGGGAGCAGCGTACGCCGAGCTGGCCGCCACGGAGCCCCCCCGGCAGTGCCCGTCGGGGGCGGCTTCCAGCGCTGCGCTGGGCTACGGGTACCCCTTCGGGGGGGGTTACTACGGCTGTCGCCTGTCCCACTCGCACGGGGTCAACCTGCAGCAGAAGCCCTGCGCCTATCACCCCGGCGAGAAGTACCCCGAGGCCGGGGGGCCGCTGCCCGGCGAAGAGCTGCCGTCGAGGCCGAAAGAATTCGCCTTTTATCCCGGTTTCGCCAGCTCCTACCAAGCGGTTCCCGGTTATTTGGACGTGTCTGTGGTCCCGGGGTTGGGGGCTCACCCCGAGCCTCGGCACGACGCTTTGCTTCCCATGGAAGGTTACCAGCACTGGGCTCTTTCGAATGGTTGGGACGGGCAAGTGTACTGCTCCAAAGAGCAATCGCAGTCGGCGCACCTTTGGAAATCTCCTTTTCCAGGTGAGTTACCCGGGAGCTGCGCGTGTCCCCGCGCGCGGATGAGTGTGCACGGACCTACAGAGATACATGTACGCCTCGATATATAATTAAAGGGAAAGAAACGGCTCTGGAATGCCTCCCGTGCAAGGCAATGTGTACGAACATGCAGGGAAAAAAAGGTGAAGCAATCATTTCTGAATCAAAATACACGCCGTGAGCTTGCTTGGAAAGTAACTTTGCCGTTTAAGCGCTTCCCTTTCTTCTTCTCTCCTCCCTCTCGTTGCCTCATCGCGGCGCGGCTCCGGCTGCTCTCCTCTTCATTTTCTTTAATTGCAGAAAGCTTAGAAAGGCCCCCAAAATAATAATAATAATAATAATTCCTTTTGAAGCATCTGAGCCGAGTGAGGAGTGTCGGAGCCGGGACGGTAAATCGTATCGCAATTACGCCCAATTATAGGAATAGGTGTCAAGTGACAAATGAAGGTGTTCCGAGGGAATGGGGGGGAGAGGGGGGGGGGCTTTCCAGCTTGACAGCAAAGCCCCCCCCTCGCTTCAGAGGGGTTTATCCAGCAAAGCACTATCCGAAGGGGAGGGAAGTGATGGAGTGCGCTTCCTCCCGGTTCTCCTTGCACCCCCCCCGCCCCGTCCCACTGTGGGGAGAAGATGAGAACAGGGGGGGGGGGAAATAACCGCAATAGGGGAGGAGGGGGGACGGGAATCCTTCAGCTCTGTGCGTCTCTGATGGAGAGCAAGGATGGGTCTTGTCGGGGGTTGGGAGGGGGGGGGAGATTGGGGGCGATACGGCTTTATTTGTTTTGTGTCTTCAGGACAAAGAGGGACAGAGGAATGGGTTTCTCCTGGGTGATGTTTTTTGGGGGAAAGGGAATGTGGCGGTGCTTGGCACGGGAGAAATGCCGTGCTGGGAGCTGGATGGTGTCCGTGTGCTTCTGTTGCTTTGATCGTTTGTTTTCGGGGGGGGGGGGTGAAGGGTCCATTGCAGCTGGGGTTGGTGAGGCTGTCGTCCCCTCTGCTTTCCCACTCCATCTCTCGCATCCCCTCAACGCCCACCCCCCACCCAGGGCATCCCCAGCACCCCAGATCTCCGGCCCCTATGGGGCTCACGGCCCCCAGGTGCTGAGGGGATCCCGAATGAAGTCGGTGTCAGCCGCCAGCAGCGCTTCGTGTCCTCACCCCATGCAGACATCTTTGGGGTTGCAATGGGGGGGGGGGGGATCTCCTTGCCCAGTTCATTCTGTGGGGGGCGGTGAGAAGAGGCTGGTGGTGCCCCGAACCAGGGGGTTACAATGGGGTCTGTTTTGCACCCCGGGTGACATCAGGACAAGGGCAAAGATGCTGCCAGCATCCTTGCTGGATCGATTCCCGACAGCCCCTTTGCAAAGCACGGAGCATCTTTTCCCATGGCCACCTCCAGGGTAAAATCTCCTGGAGGGGACACTTGGAAGAGGGGGGTAGGGGGGGGTGCAGGGGGGATATTTTGGTTGGTTTTTGCCCCTCCGAGGGGTTTTGCTGGGCAGCCTCACTCCAGCTTTGTGGTCAGCACTGCGGGGATGCATTTATCCCTGCACTGTGTTCGTGGGTGCTGCTCTGCGGGGCTCCCACCCCCCGAAAACCCGAGGGGAGAAAAGAAAGGGAATGTTGGGGGGTGGGGGATAGAAAAAGGGAAGAAGGGAGAAGCACAGAGACGTTTTCTGCAGCACCAGTGCTTGGAAATTCCCTTTGGTTGTGAGCTGGGGTTGATGCTCTGAACAGCATCGCCAAGAAAAACAGCCTTTCCCCACGTGCGTGATTAATCTTCTATCATTATTATTGCTGTTATTATTATTATTGCAGTCCTACCGCGGCCTTCTCTGGATGCAATTCTCGTCTCTTTTTTTCCTGCTCCTCGTCCCCTCGCTCGCATTTCTCCATTCTCCTTTCCCCCTTTTATCTCTCCTTGATGCAGAAATCCCCATCCCACGCATCGGGACGAAATTCCCCCCAACCCCTCTTCTTTTTATCCATTTTTTCCCCCTTTTTTCTTTTCTTTCTTTCTTTCTTTTTTCGTTTTTTTGTTGTTTTTTTTTGCAGACGTGGTCCCCCTGCAACCCGAAGTCAGCAGCTATCGGAGGGGGAGGAAGAAGAGGGTTCCCTACACCAAAATCCAGCTGAAGGAGCTGGAGAAGGAATACGCCGCCAGCAAATTCATCACCAAAGAGAAGCGGAGGAGGATTTCGGCCACCACCAACCTGTCCGAGCGCCAAGTGACGATCTGGTTCCAGAACCGGAGGGTCAAAGAGAAGAAAGTGGTGAGCAAATCCAAAACAGCGCATCTCCACCCCACCTGACATCGCCGAAGGGAAGGTTGTGGATGGGGGGGGGAGGGAGGGGGGGGTGTTCAGCGAGAGGCGTCAATATTTATCCGGTGATTCGTGTGGCAACGACGGCACCGGGACTCTGCAGATCCGAACCCGTTATTTAAACCTCGCCATTAAGAAGCGCAGCTCCTTCCCATCCTCGCCCGCTCGCTCCCCGCAGCACCGACCGCATCTTCGATGTATTCCTCTGCCCCGTCTCTGACTGTGGATCCCCCGGTTCTTCCGCTCTGAGAAACGCAGCGATGGGTCGGACTGCGTCTATTTCTCGAAGGGAATAAGCTAAGAGGGCAGCTCTGCTAAGGGAGAGATGAGCCCCGACCTCCGCCCCGCAGCGCGGCGTGGTCCATTCCCCCGCAATGACCGCTCGCATCTCGGGCCATTTCACCCCCCCCCTCCTCCCCACGATGTAAATGTATGGAGAACCCATGGCAAAGCGCATCAGCTTCGTCTTTCCTCGGCTCTCAGGGCCGAAAATCGCAGCTCAGGCCGCTGCTGCGGGAAGAGAATCATTGCTCGGTGTCGCATCTCCACCCCCAACGCTGGTTTAGGTCCTACGTGGAAGTGAGTTCTGTACAGTGCTGTTTTCTCCGTCTGTTCTCATGAGGGTTTCTGTTATCTCTGCCCCGAAACTGGAATGCCCGTGCTCCGCTGCCAGGATGCGAAAATGCACAATACTGTCTGTAGGGTTGATTTCTTTCCCTCTCTAAACCGACTGAATGTCCACAGTGGGTTTATTTTTTTTTTTTCTTCCGATATGTAAAAGCATCGGGGTTTGTTTCGTTTCGTTTGATTTTTGTTTGTTTTATGATTATTATTTTTTTTTTTAAATGTCGTGTATGTGTACATAATATCGTGGTGTCCTGATGATGTGTACCGACTGCGGATGACGTTTCTCGAAAATAAATCTCTTTTTTTCGGTCGTCGTTTTGCCTCGAGGAGGGACTCCGCACAGCTCTTTGTAGCCTTCAGCCTCTCCCATTCGCGGAGAAAAGATGGGAAAAATAGAGGAAGGGGGGGTGTTTGTTTGGGGGGGGGGTGAAGGAGGGGGGAAACGTGTCGAATTTGGGCAGAAAGGGGCTTTAGGAAGGGCTCCCCGATAGCGGAATGGGGCTGCGGATGCGGCCGCTGTTCGCAGTGCGGGTGGGGGGTGGAGGGAGGGAGGTAAAAACTGAGGAAATAAACGGGCGGAGATGGAGATGAAGCCTCGGGACGCTTTTCTTTTCTTTCTTTCTTTCTTTTTTTTTTCCCTTCCATTCTTTTATTTTTATTCACTTCTTTTTTTTCTTCCCCCCTTTCCTTTTGTCCTCATTCCCCTCCGCGATGCGCGGTGACCTCAGGGAGCCGCCTCTCCTCCTCTCCCATCTCCGCGTGTGCGTTTGAGCTCCTTTGGAGCGAAAGATGCTTTTTCGCTCAACCTGTTCGCCTCCGCCACCGCCTCGCCATCCGCCCTCACCCCGCTCCTCACCCGCGGATCATCCGCGGCTCCGCCGGCCGTGCGCGAGGAAATGGTTTCCGCAGCCGGATTCCAACCTGCCGTCATATCGGCGAGATTGAATCACCTCGTTAAATGACCAAAAGGGGAGGGAAGGAGCGGTGGAGGAGGGGGGGGGGGGGGGGGGGGGGGAAGAAAGAAAAGATTTTGAAAGGGATGTGACCTAAAACGATGAGAACGCGGCTGAAACGTGCGCTTCTATTTCTGCGAGGAGGGAAGGTGGCAAAATGTATAAAAACCGGGGGGAAATATTGATATATCAGTATTAATGCCTGCGTAAATGCGAGCGTGGGTGCTGTAGGTGTTCAAACCGATCCTCACGAGTGCTTATATATAAATACATCTGTACGCATCTGTACGGGGTGCATAAGTGTGAGTGCATGTGAGGCCGCGGGTCTGTTTCTCCATCGCGATTGAAATCACGCGCCTGTGTGTTGCGTGCGTGTGTGCGGGGTGCGATGCTGAGTGTGCGGGCCGTGGGAGGTCGGGTTTCGAAGTCTCCGTGTGTCTCCGTGTGTCTCTGTGTCTCTGTGCACGGATGCACGCACTCGATGTGCGCCCCACAGGGCGACGGAGAGGAATGTGAGTCGGTACATGGGAGCGCTCGTGATTCCAGAGGCTGTGCACGGATCCTTGCGTGTGCTGTGGGTGTAAATGCGCGGATCCGTGCGCGATGCATCTTCCTCTGTTAGGCGGAGAGCTGCGGAGACCAGCGGTCGGCAGTGATGCGTTTTGGGTTGGTGTGTGTGTAAGGATTTGGGTACGCACGGAGCTATAAAGCATATAAAAGCGGACACCCGGAGCGCGTGTCTGTATGATAACAGTCGCTCCGCGGGAGCTGAGCGGTGACAAAATGTCCCACGGAGCTCCGTCACCGCCCCCCAACCCCCCAACAACCCGGGACGGCCTCGGCGTGATCCCAAATCTCGGAAATGCGGGACACCGCTTTGCAATGCGGGCTGAATGGGGATGGAGCAACCGTGGGGTTTGAGGGGGGAGGCGGGGGGTGGGGATGGGGGGGTTCCTCAGTTTGTTTTCCCCTAATTTCTCCTCCGAAGTGATTAAAGGAGAAAATTGGGGTTTCTTGGGTTTGTGTTTGGAGGGTGAGAGCTGCGCTGGTCGGGAGGAACGGGCAGTGATTGCGCTCTGATTCTCCTCTTCTCATTATTTTAAAAGTCGCTCCGGTAGGAAATGTGGCAACGCATCGCCGCTGCTGTGACAGAACGGGGTCACGTTGTGAGCTGTGCACTGTGCGTCAGAGCCGGGATGTGTGCGTTTGGGTGTGTGAAAAAGGAAGGGAGGAAAGGGAAGGAAGGGAGGAAGGGAGGGAGGGAGAGAGGAAGAGAAAGAGAGAAATAAAGAGAAGGGAGGAAGGAGAGAAAGAAAGAGAGTAAGAGAGAAAGAACGAAAGAAAGAAAGAGAGAAAGGAGAAAGAAGAAGGAAAAAAAAAAAGGAGGAAAGAAAAGAAAAACACAGAGGGAAAAAAAAAAGAGAATAGAAGGAAAAAGAGGAAAGAAAAAAAGAAAAGAAGAGGAAGTTCACCCTTTTGCTGTGCGTGCAAACACCGAAATGCAGAAACGCAGCTCCAGACACGTCCGAATCCGACATCCCGAGAGCGGAGCGCTGCTCGCTGCCTCCCCTCCTTCCTTCCACCTGAATTCCGTCGGTGGTTTGAAAAGCGGAGGAGACGGAGGCCGCTGAGCGCTGTCGGAGGGGGGTGAGGGCGGGCGGAGCAACAGATTTTTTTCTCCCCGGGTCCTTCAAGGAGATTTGGGATGGAGTTTCCAATGTGGGTCCTTTGCGGTTTCATGTGGGGGATGAGAGTGTTAAGGGGGGGGGGGAAAGGGGGGGATGAGAGCCTGCTGTGCATCGGGCCTCGTTTCAAACCGCGTGGGAGAATTAAAAAAAGTAATAATAAACACCGGTATAAAATGAAATCAAGTGAAATACATCCTTTATTACCCTTCGGACACGTCGGGCTGCGGGTGGATGCCGTCTGTCGGCGAACCCCCGGCCCCGTCATCTTCCCGCACTGCCCGCAACCCCCCGTATTTTTTTCAATCCCCGTTATTTTGCGTCGTTCTGCCCCTCCGAGTTCCGTCCCACGGCCGTGCCGGAGCTGCGGGCGGTTTCTGAGGCTCCGACGGTGATTTCGAGCGGTGCGGAGCCTACGGGGCAATGGGGGAACGGACCGCGGCCCCGACGTGCGAATCCCATTGGGATTCTAACCCCACCGTGGGGCTGAGCTCCCCTCATCCCAACCTCCGTCTGCTTTGGGGTCGGGTCGGGACCAGGGTGGGCCCTGTGGAGCTCGGGATGAGTAAAAACCCCCCTCCGTGCATCCCGGCGGACACTCGGTGCGTGATTTGTCCCTTTCATCCGGAACTTTGGGTGAGAAAATGAGTTTTTGGGGTTGGTCGGGCGATAGAACCCCTCACTTCGATTGTTAGACGATTCCTTCCCGCTGATCCCACAAACGGGTGAGTTTCGGTGGTATTCTTTTCTTTTCTGTTCCCAAAAGAGCAAAACGCGATCCTCAAACCAACTGATTCGGTCATTCCTCTTCCAGGAGCTCTTCAGGAGGCCTTTGCCCAGGGAAGAACTTCAAAACAAAAGCAACCAGCACGCAGACGCTTACATAAAGCCCCCAAATCCCAGAAAATCTCCTTTCCTTTCAACTTCCGCGGGCGCGCACGGCGAACTCCGCTGGACATGAACCCGCCGCAAGACCAACCCAACGGCACTCCGCTTTTTTTCTCTCTTATTTCTTCCCACTCCTCTCAGAAAACACCACGGGAACTTGTTTGTTTCCTTTTCCCCCGCTTATTTATCCTTTTACGCGCTTCGCTCCCCTCGTCGCTCGCCGGGTTTTAGGTCAGCAAGCCGTGACGTCACGCCCGTCGCAGTAGCCTTGACCGTGACTATGCGTTGTCTGACCTTGACATCACGAGCCGTGGGCAGAGCAGCGAAGGGACCCTCATCACCCTTGATCTTCTCGCCCCCAGCCACCCCCAGGCAGCCCCGCTCCTGTTTACAGATAAACAAGGTGTTATTTGCAGTCTAGACAGACGGGCTAATGGCCAACAATAAAGCCCTGAAAAGGAAGTTTCCCAAGTTTAACCTTTTCTTTCCTTTGTACCCAGGACTTTGAATAACTTCCCAACCGCAGCCTTTATGGTAAAATCCCGGACAAGGGATTTCCTTCTCCCTTCTTTCTTTTCCTGCCTTTTTCTTTCTTTCTATTTTTTTTTTCCTCATCTTAATTTCTTTCTTTTATTTTTATTTTTATTTTTAAGCTCACGGGTATACACATTTGCACGGATATATATATATATGTGTGTGTGTGTGTGTGTGGGTGCGTGTCTGTGTGTGGTTTTCTTTTCTCCAGACGCGTCTTTAAAGGATAATTTCCCGACGCGGAGGGGAATTCTGCTCTCCCACCATCCTTGACTTTCTGTTTGTTTGGGAAGCGCTCGCT